ATTGGGTTGTGTGGCTGTCCTTTTCCTTCTAAACTCCATCACCATCTCTCGGAAGCAGATGATTCCTCCCAGACCACTCCACAAAACCGTCCACTACTGCTCTGTACTCCCAATACATCCAACCACCTTACAGTTGTCAGAGTAATTTTGCAGACTGCTGATGTTTCTGAAAAATGTTTAAAATTGTGATTTGTCCTGTTAATTTAGCGTCAGCTGGTAAACCAAATATTATTTGTTGCAGATAAAGTAAGAGCAACATCAAAATCTGAAAATAAAATTATAATTTTTTATATAAGTAATTATTTATTACTCAAAAGTACTTGCAATATGGCGACATGGGGATTGTTGTTGGGTTATTTGGGGCCTCTTAAAAAGATTACGCATTTTGATTTATAATAGCAAAGTATAAATCTGTTATGACTAAAGTAAAATTATGACTAAATTAAAAATAAGAATAATTATTATATTGAGATGCAAAACTACATTTTAAGACCTTCATAAATTCTGCTCAGGGATAAAAACAAAATCAGATTATACTCTCAATCCATTTGGAAATAGGTATATTTAATCCTGTGTTTGGTTTTTCATTTTTTTGCTATATAACACCTAAATATCCAAAATAACAACAGAAACAAAAAAAACCCCAACCAACACTTACTATAAATCCATTATTTTGGCATATAATGAACATTATTTGTAATAAAAGATCAGATGTACTTTATTCATCCCTAATTCTGGGCAAGATTATAAAACAAGACAGCTCCTAAATTAAAAAAAGAAAGAACTCAATTAAAAATAAAGATGAAGAGCTCATTAACTGACAAATGTAAGTAAATAAGTTAATATGTATTTATTTAAGTAGTATCTAAGTAAAATTAATAAGAATACCCATCTCACTACAGGGAAATGTCTGTTATATAATAAAGTAAAAGTAAATATACATTAAAAATGTATTCATTAATAGCAATAATGTTGATAAAAAATGCAACTGAAATATATAAAATCAAATGTTTATTTATTTTTTTAAATATCTAATAATTAAGAAAAAATATGCTTGGTATAAACTGAATGTACACCAATCAAGTAAATGTCATTGTACTATTAACATTTGTACATTGCTCTTATGTAACAAAATCACTTGTAAGATTTACATTATATCAAATTAAAGTCAGCATTTTGGGCATATTTTATTTTTGAGTGTATAAAGCAGGAACTCCACTTTTCTTCTCCTCATGCCACAATACTCGTATCTGTCCTTGTGGCAGCAGAGATGAAACAGATGTTAAAAAAAGTGAAACAAAAAATCATGACCCTCAGATCATTGCTGCTATTCTTACACTGGTTTATATTTCAAACTGAACCGCCTAAAACCTGAGCTCTATAAATGGAAGACCACTGGGAGTCTGTGCACAGCTGATCTCCCTCCCATAGAAAACTGTGTTAGTGCGGTATTCCCAGTCTATTTAAGCCCTGTTGAGTTAAGGAAATAATTTTCTGTTGTTTGAAAGAAAGAAAAAGTAGAAGACTCTAATTTAAGCACAAGGTTACCATTATAACATTGTCAAAAGGAAACTCTAGTTTAAGCAGAGCTTAAAACTTGACCCATGCATGTCCTGGATGTGAGCAAAGGAGCTATAGTCAAGAGATGGCCATTTGGGAGAGGAGGGGTGAATGAGCCTCTGTTCAGTGCATGGTGCAAATGATAAGATTAGAATTTTCCAATTTCCTGAAATACAGATTTTGTGTTTCCTGTCCCCTCCCAAAAAATTGCATTGTTAAAAGACAAATAAATAAATGAAAACAGCCTATGCAAAACAATGATTTCCTACTCATATTTTGGTTAAACACGTACAATCCCCCGAAAGCTGCAGTTTATCTCACCAGTAGGTGGCATGGTTTACCTTTGATAATAATGTGAGACAGTTGTAGTGATGACAGCTGTCCTTCCTGCGCTGCTCTTCTGATTATTTGTCAACACAAAAATGCTGCAGAGTTTTTTCAGGATATTTATGCATTCTGATAAGCTCATGGAGAGTCGCCCTTCAAAGCTGGAACTGAAAATAAGAGTTTGCACTTCTGCCCCAAGTCAGGTTCCTCTTTTATCTGCAAAGTACAGCACAAGTTTCCACTCAGCTCTAGCAAAGAGAAATGCAACCATCTGACTCAAAATTACCCACATGGATGTTACTGCATATGTAAGTGAGCAAATTTTCACTAGATTATTCGATCATACATTGTTCTTCAAGTTTGTATGCACCACATCAACCAACCAGATGAGAGAAGAGCGTAACTTTTATCTGTGTTTACTGAATTCAACACAGAGGTTATTTAAACCAAGGCCATTGCTCCAAAAAAACACCCTGTACCTTTTTTTAAGGGAGTAGACAAACAAACCAGAGCTATTTTTAGGTAGGATGGTACTGGGTTATTAAATGACCCCTGGAGTTCTTAAATATGGGTACAAAGAGTCAGGGCCAGAAAACTGCATTATCATCAGAGAAAGGTTAGCAGGTTTGAGGATTTAGAAAGTGTGCACATTTTAGGCTGCAAATTTAACTCAATGAATAAAGTTTTATTACACACAGAGACACCAGAGACAAGATATCCTACTCAGTATAATCAGAGGTTTTCTAGTTGTTACACCTTAAAACTAGACTGTTTTCATCAGTGAACCCAGACAAGCTGCTGTCAGTCAGCCCACAATCACTTCAGCCCATGTTTTACTGACTGGGGTAACATGATCAATAGCTGAAGAGTATGAGTTTAAAATAACTTCTCTTAGTGCTGGCAGAAGCATATCTTTGCAGGACTAGGGAAGGACAGAATGTAGCTCTACCTCTTAACGTGCACTTGCCTGCACAAACCAAAAAAAACTATATAAAAAGAGAGAAAGAGCATTCAGCCAGTCCTGAAATGTAATCTATGAGGAAAATCCCACACCAGCACAGATAAGATGGTGCTTTATTTGGGGCACAGTCTTCAAACTATTTTAAGCAGTTTTCACCTGATTTGACCGGCGACTATTAAAGTACTTTATAATGGTTCCGAATAACTGCCCATTAAAGATTTCAAGAAGGGTGCTGAGCAGTGAAGGACTTTGCACAAATTGTGTGCACAACCTACAGCAAATCATAGATTTCTGCACAGCTTACAAGGCAATATATTGTATATGGCTGGTGAATAAAGAGATGTAGTGAGTAGTCTCTTTCTGGACATAGCAACACATCCATTTCTGAAACAGCTAAAGAGAACCCCAAGTCCTTGGTAATCTAGTCGAAGTGGAAATCACCCCTGCTAACAAGCTCCAGTTATCCATTTGTTACTTGCCATCTAGGGGTCAGGTCATAATATGAATGAAGCACTGGTCGTAACACATTGCACAACTGTATACACATGTTGTGAGGCTCTGCTCTAAAGAGCTATTCTATGATTGGTCAAATGCCACAGGATCCTCTTTTATGCCATAACCTCTCACTTAAGATGAGCTGTTTTGCAAACCAAGGATGAGGTGGAATTAAACTGCATGCTCATGCAGCAGCTGCTTGTCAATCACAAAGTACACCCACCTTAGAGAGTACCACATTTATCATACATTTCTAATATAATGCAATAAACTCAACATGCAAACATGATTCATGTAGATTTATGAGCTGCGGATTGGCCAGTTGCAATGCACTAATCCAATCAGTAATCCAACACAAGTTGGATTACTGATCAGAAAATACTTAATTCATATTTTTTTATTAGTTCTGAGACACTGAATGTAAGTTTCAGGGAGCTTGATAAAGTTACAAATGAAATCTTTATGCATTGCATGGTTACACTTTTATTCTGTTCCAGCAAATATGCTTTTGAGGAACATCCCAACAATGCCAGACACAGTCAAATGGGCTGTGTGTCTGTGTGTGTATTTCCCCATTGTGTGTCTACAACCAGCCTTTTGTCCCGGTTCTCTGTGCTGTGCAGGAAGGTCTAGACAGCTGACACTTACCTAATCCAGAGGGGTGGCTGAACCCATCTCCTGTTGGCTGACCTCTTTCCACAAAAGACAAGGGTCTGCTAATTTAAACACCAGTCACATTAATATATATCTATATTGGGGGAGATTTTGAGAAGAAATAAAAAACTCAATTACTCAAGAGATGTAGCCTATTCACATCATTCACTGGTAGTATTTAGTATCTTTAAATATGTGAAATGTATTGTTGTTGCTTTAAGCACCAAATTATCTGAACCTTCTTCCTGTCAGGTGAAATGATTAAAACACAGCTGCCTTGCAACAAAGTGGGGGACGAGATTTACACACAAAACATTGGCACTAACAAAATGTAGTCTGGTTGCAACTCTGAATGAGATTAATGGTAATGAATAATAGTAGAAATTATTTGGTGCTATTTCACTTTTGAAAAGTAAAGGAGGATTAGTTAATTGCAGTGAAGGGGTGGGGGTATTATACAAAAAGGGGGTGGGGGGGTCTGAAGCACTTGTTCACATAATTTCCACTAATGGATGAATTAAGAAGATATATTAGGAAATATTTCCACCACAGGTCCCCCCCCTTTATCCATGGCCCTGCCTCTCTACTTTAATTAAATAGTAGCTTCATTTAGATAGATTTATCTGAAGATTGTTAAATAGTAACAAGTGCTATATTAATTACCTACCTGTTGCTATCTCATAATGAGCATCTTTTCTCACTGTCTTCACTCCAAGTGTCATAGTGATGATTAGCCAAGACAGATGGTGAGCGTCTGCTCGTCAGGGCAAAGTTACTCATTAAAAACGCCAGTTATTTGCAAGGTGGGTGTGTGGGTTGGGGGGTGGGGGTTTTCTCACACTCCCTTGCTGTTGTGTACCACGCAGTCTCCACGGTGCCTTCAGCCCCTGATCACGCACGGTGCCCCCGCACCATTGGTCTACCCTAAAACACACCTTTGCGTCCCATTGGGCGCGGCTTCGGGCCACGCCCATCTGTTCCCCCACCGCATTTGAAACGATGAATGGAAACGAGGCTGTGGAGGAAATTAGGAAACATACTTGCCTGGTCTTAAGTTGTTCGCACGAGACTTGTGGACGCGCGTCTAGGGATTAAACCTGTTTCCTGAACACTTGACGCACTCATACATATATGTAAGTACATATTAGCTTCGTCATATTTACGGTTTAGCATAGTGTTTTCTTTTCTTCTTACGTGTTTAATGTTCGTGTAGAAACACGTTGATAAAGTGGTTGTCAGCAGCTAATTAGTCAGACAGTCTGGTGGGCTTCATCAATAGTTATTGAGGAGTATGATTATGGGTGCAGCTTGTGTGTGGTGATCCGGGTCTGGGCAGGGAGGAGTTCTTACAGTAGGTGTTGTGTGTCTGTTTTGTAACCACCACACATGCTGCTTTTGTCCCCCAGCAAAGTAGGTGAAAGGGCAACCGCGCTGATGAGCAGCAGCTGATCATGCTTATCTCTCATGCTGTTTGGCAAAATCTTTAAGGCCCTGAGATAATGGTCATAGTGTAAATTTGATCGTAGGTGATGTATTCATTTATTTTTAGTGAAGGCTATCATTGTTGGATTACGTTGCGTGAAATGTTATGAATTTAAATTACAGTTAATTTGGTCTTTGCCAGAGTTGCACTATGAAGTCTGAGGAGCATCACTGTAACATCTCAGACGTCCAGGGTGAATCCCAGCCAACTGACATGGGTGCAGGTGATATGGAAGCTGTGCGGGCTCTGATGTCCATGACTAAGCACTGGAAGTCACGAAACTTCAGGGTGAGGCACTACAGACCTCTGTCTCCCTCCTCAGACTCCTCAGAGGACGACCAGGTCACCACCAGTTCTGCTGTGCTGCAGGACTCTCTGTTTGTAAGGGATCCTTGTTTAGGAATGAAATGGTTTCTATGTAACTGCGTGATTCTAGTAAATGTAGATGTATTGGGACAGAAGAGAAACTTTATTACTGACTTTGATAATGTGACTTTTCTTCTCAGTGCATGACACCACCATGCAGCCCGCCCCACTTTGTGACGGCCTGTCCAGGTCCAGCTCTGAAGCCTCACCGACCTACAGAAGCGACGTCTCTGCACAAACACGCTGCTCAGCAGAGCTTCCAGTGCACCAGTGTGATCCGTCACACTGCAGATGGCCTCCACTGCTCCTCCAACCTTAATCGTTCCTCAAAGGAGGAAGAGGTCGTTCGGGTTCACATGCTGGACTCTAAAACTGATGTGAACTGTAAAGATGAGCCGAATAGCAGAGACTCTGAGGAGACTGTTACAACACAAGCTTACACTGAGACGTCCCCAAATGTTGTTCAGTCCAGAGAGAACCCAGGAAGCCTTTTAGGCTTAGATGAAAATAAAAATACGCCTCAGTCTGTCCCAGCTGGAGATGCTCTGGTCTCGCCTGTGCCTGTCTACTGCCACATTGTTCCTGTCTCTTCTTTGGCCACCGTTGTGCAGAACGCTGTCACAAACTCGCACAGTCAGCAGCAACACCTACTGCCAGCAATCACCATGGTGCACACGCCGCTGCAGCACAAACAAGAAGGACAAACGGCTTCTTCTGCTCAGGTCTTCCTTGTAGGGGGTCAGGTGGCAAAGGGTCCCGTCATGCTCCTTGTCCCTCAGCCGCCTGTTCCTCCTGTCTACATTCAACCAGCACCGGTGACCAATGGTGGACCAAAGTTCGCTGCCATTGCCCCGGCGCCTCATCGCACCTTATCGGAGCAAAGATGTGTCCCACAGCAGCCAGAGGTGGCCCGCGCACGCAATCACGTTTGTCCCCGTGAGAACTGCAACAAGACTTACTTCAAGAGCTCTCATCTCAAGGCCCACATGAGGACACACACAGGTAAGAGATAAATGAATTAAATGTTAATATAACGCATATATATTTGAATGCTATGGCAGTTTTTAAGCAAATGGCACAAGTGTGATCTTCTAGTCATGATAGCAAATGTTTTACCCGTTGGAGTATGTTCAGAAAAGTCCTTATTCCTGCCTCCACTATCCAACAGGTGAGAAACCTTATAAATGCAAGTGGGAGGGTTGTGAGAGGCGTTTCGCTCGCTCCGATGAGCTGTCCCGGCATCGCCGAACCCACACAGGAGAAAAAAAGTTTGCCTGCCCAATGTGCCTCAGCCGCTTCATGCGTAGTGACCACCTTGCCAAGCACGCCCGAAGACACCTGGCAGCGATGAGGGGACGCTGCTGAACTCCCTGCATGCAGTATCGTCTTCAGCAACAATAACAAACCCCACTGTGAAACCAAATGACATGCGCTACGCTGTTGAGACTGACTCACACAAGACTGTAGATGTTTTTTACGTCACCTTATGAAAGGGCTATTGTGCAACACTGTTAAACTTTGCTATACTGCTGTTCTGTAATCATTCTAATTGAATATAAACGAGGTAATCAAAGTGTTTACATTTAACTACTGCATTAGCATAACCTGAGTAGTTACGTATTTAAATGTTACTAAGTTTACTTTTTTGTCAGTGATATTTGACCAAAAAATGTTACATGTTGTTCTTTTGTGCCATGACAATCAGTTTAAAATATTTTTGCACTTTTTCTTGCACAAAACACAGAATTTCTTAATAAACCTAAACATATTTGTCTAGATTTTTTTTATTTTATTTATTTTTTATTTTTTTAATTTAATTTTTTTAATTTTTTTTTTTTTTTTTAAAGAGTTGTAATTTAAAATCTTTTCTGTGGTTCCCACATGCTTCTGATACCTGAAAATGTATCCCCCTTCAGCTCATCACATGATAACTGTATAAAATTATCAGGCTGTGAAACTGGGGTACCAATTCTATCTATGCATACAGCTGGAGGAAGTTACAATTTACAACATTTGTGCATTTCTGATAAGACACACACACACTGGGATTTACAGTCCACTCAGTGGGGTGTTTATTACTCTTCATTTAGACAAGCACAGCTACACGTTAAAAGCAGGCAAATGCCTGATAATTTATCATGCCTTAAGACAGATTTATGACAGTTTCACATATATGATACACACAATGCAAGTATACTTGGTGTCAGGAAATACTGCTATATTCTATCAACACAGATGTTGGAAGAATATTTCAAACTATATGAGTAGAAATAGAACTTGCAGTAGTCTTTTAAATCATTTTTTGTAAAGAAACAATGTCATTTTCAGTGTAAGTCGATTCATTATCCACCAGCACTTCCTGTGTTCCATCTGCAGCACATGCTGTCTAATAAAACCTGCTTGGCTGTCAGGTAGCAGAGCACTCACCTGCCAGTCTTGGAAGCAAGACGCTCAGCACTTTGGAAAAGCACGCAAATACCACCTTATTTAAGGACACTCACCTTTTAGCTTTCAAATAATTTTCAGAAACTGACGCCACGGTGACGCCAAACATTTTGTATGTACAGCAAAGATATGCTGCAAGCTCTCAATTTAATATGAAGATGCCACTTTTTAAATGTAATAATGGATTCTAGCCTTTGTGCACACACAAAAAAAAACCTACACAACAAATTAAAATACAAAATACAAATCTTTTGGCAAAACTTTCTATATAATCTCAGAAGTGTTTCTTTTTATAAATACACTGCTTCAATCAGGGATACACATAATATACAAGACTGACAACAGCAAAGGAGATATGAATAATAATATCTGTCAAATATAATCATTTAAAAGTATTATATGTCTACTGTAGGGGTGTAAACTGTAGTTCAAGAGGAGTCCCCAAACTGTCTTTTCTGGACTCATCCATTTTGTTGCATACTAATTAACACCTACTTAGGGTTTCCAGGGCTGACCACACAGAAGTGCAGTGCACTGGGGTCTGTGAGATGAATATGGTCTGGTCCAGGCAATTTCAAGCACTACTGGGAGAGTTGACCCCAGGGGAATGTGAACCAAAGGAAGCTAGCAGCAGAAACAAGTGAGAAAAGTGAAAAGACTTCTGGTCGCAGTCAGATGTTTCCTAAGCTGGGACCGACAGTGCAGCCTCTGTTTGGCAGGAATTGAGGAAGTACGGGACCAGGGAGAAGTTCTTAAGCGTAGCCTCGTTGGTAACACCAGTGTCCTGCATCTCAAACCTGGTGAATGAAAATAAACAGGAATCAAGGACCATAACCTCCACATTCTTGCACAGAAAAGATTTTCTCCATCACTGCCAAACTTACCAGTCTCTAGAGGAGATGACGTAGTACACAGGGGGTGGTGGTGAGTCAGTGGAGGAGCACAGTGGTTGACCCAGACTGTAGGAGCCAGCATGTGTGAACATGAGCCAATCTCCAATGTTGAGCTCAGGTAAAAGACAGTGCTCCAGTACCTGGTCCAGATCATCTCCAGAGGGACCCCACAAGCTGCTGCTGAACACCGGTACATCCAGGGAAGTGTTCTGCTAATAAGGCAATAAAGGTGATTATTTTAGTCATTTTACAGTGTGTATATGTGTGGCCAGTAGCTGATTAAGATGTTGTTCCTAATTTAATAATATAGTCCATATACACATTGAGAAGTATAGAGAAAGTATTGTGTGTTGTGGTTACACATTCAACTGGCCCTTTGTTAGGTAAAGGTCCTTTGTTGGCTGGCTGGATGGATGCGTCCGTCTCGCTATCCATCCATCCAACAGAGGACCTTTGTGGTGGAACAGATTTGCATTATGAATTTGCAGCCAACAGATCTACAGAAACTGCTTGCTGCGATCTTGTCAGTGTGGCCCAAAAAGTCTTGCAGAAGTTTCAAGCACCTTGTTAAATCTATGCAACAGTTTTGTAGATAAAAGTAGTCCAACCTGGTACTGCCAAAGTGTACCTATTAAAGTGTCTAGTAAATGTATACTGATCCATTGAGAATCTTTGAGACTCACCTTGTGAACAGATGGGGCAGATATCAGTCTTTCAGAGAGTTTGCTGGCAAACGATCCATACACTCCTTCGTTCATAGTGTACTGGAACGCTGGCTCTTCATTGGGAGACAGATCTGTTCAGAAGAGGGCAGAAAAGTTTCTGAATTTCATTTTACTGTTTGATTCATAGCTGCACTGCTAATTCCCAGTATAATAATACATTTCATGCTGTACAACACTGGTTTCTGCATGAAAATGCATTGTGTACTGCTCGAGTTACTGCTGGAATGCAGTTTTTACAGAGTATGTCCTTAACAATCATTACCGTTCCTAAGTGAGTATCTTGCCACTAACCATGATCCTGGTCCTGGGGATCACGTGCCACCACCTCCTTGGAGATGACATTGACAGCCAGTGTGAAAGCAGAGGACACGAAGAAGTTACCAGGCTCAGCAATGATGGAAACTCCTGAAGATGGAGGGAAGTATAGGTCCACCATAGACATGACTGCACTGTTAATCTGCAAAAGAGATGACAGAAGCCGTTACAATTAACATTAAGATATTCCTTCCTTTTTCCCCCACATGCCTCTGAAAAGTAGTTTAAATCCAGCTTCACAGTGAGCAGCTAAAGCATGAATCTATATTCGAATATTCTCAACATTTAAGACAGACACTTTTATCTTACTGTTCAGCTAGTGCTTACTACAGCTACAATGTACAAAGCTTGTCTTTAACAGTATATGATAGAAATGCACTGACCAGTTCCAGTTGGGCCTCAGAGCCACTGAATCCGCCTCCAATGTCCAAGATTTTCATGCTGAAGCCAATTTCCTCCTGAAGCAGACAGAAATTTGTTAATAACTTGGGTCTATACAAAGTACCTTGTGTTTATGGAGCATCCAAAACATAAAATTGTATTCAACAGAAATGCAAATAACAGTCATAGAGCTGACTGCAAATAAAATGCATCATTTAACACCACATACCCCCATATCAAAGACACAACGGGCATCGGAGATGGCATGAACATACACCTGGTCATCGTCACAGGAGTTGGAAATGTGAGACCTGAGGAGTAGAAGAGGTAGTCGGTGATCAAATTGGCAACTTAACGTTTAAATTTCATTTGCAGACAAACTGACTAAATAATTTGTTCAGGAGAACTGTGCCATCCTTGCAGTGGTCTAGGTACAAAACCTGGATTTGCATTTCTCTTCATGTCCTTCCTGTAGTCCTTACCTGACCCCAGCTACCTGCACACCCAGCTCCTTAGCACTCTCCAGCAGATGTCTGCAGTCCTTGAGTGAGCAGCCAAATGTCATGCTCATGTCATCGTCCGGGTTTGACGCTTCCGTTGACACCTGTAGCAGCAGCCTAAATTATCACAGAGGAAATAGATAACTTGGTTACTGTTTTGGGGAAACAATCGATCCAGATTAATCTATGATATAAAACCAGAGCAGTAAACTACACAGAACCAAACAGTTTTGCAGGTAGATTTCTTATCAGAATGACGGTCGATAGTGTAACCAACAGATAATTACTATGGACTGATAACATGGTCAGTTGTTTAACATATTCACTGGCACTTGGACTGATGCTTATCAAAAACTTACTTGGCATTGGGGTGGCAGCGAGAAATCTTGCGCAGCTCTGCTTCATTATCACACACCAGGAGGTCAATGCCATTTTTAGCAGCATATTTAATCTGGGAAACTTGTTTGCAAACACCACTGTAGATGATATCTTCAGAGGGAATACCATGGCTCTGCACCAATTCCAGTTCAGACTGAATTACAAAGATACACAGACAAAGCAATATTCCATTAAAGGGAACCTATTATGCTTTTTTGTCATCTTTTGCTTATATTACACTTAGTTTGAAAATTTCAGTGTATGTACAAAGAACTGTGAGCTAGAAGGTCAGTCTCTAAGCAGTTTTTTTCTACTCTTCATAGGATATCCTTTAAATGATCATCTCAGGATCATTGCTCTGGCTGTAAGCATAGAAATCTAATCCACCTGCTGTCCCAACCTTCCATTTGTAAGGAGTAGGGAGCCAATCCTTTGTCAATCCATTGCCAGACGGCGGCTTAACAGTGGGGCCGCACCAAAGCCAAATATAAGATAAATAAGGATTATTTTCAACTTTGAATCAGCCAAAGCTGCTCTAGAAGAAAGAAAATAGAATTTGAAATAAGTGTAATAGATCTCCTGTATCTATCTTGCAATGCCCATCAGGCAGATGCATTAGAGACAAATATTTATTAAATAATGTTTACAAGGTGGGCAGTGACATGTGGTGACCACTTGGTGGTGCTTTTAAAAATATTTAAAGGTCTTGGAAAGACACACATTGAATAGCCTTGGGGTGAATTCGTACCAGGGCCTCAGCCTTATGAAACACGGGTCAGCTTGATGATCAACACTAGTGCTAAATGTGCTTTTATATTTAGCAGGGAAAAGCCCTAATGACAAAAACACACACTTTCAAAGAGTACCTTGTTGGTGCATATGAACCCAGTGCCAAGGGCAGCAAGGACTTCAATCACAGCTGGGCTGCTATTGCACCTGAC